GGGGGGAGCCGCCGCCGCCGCCGCCGCTCGAGTTCCGTAATTTTGAGAAGATTTTTTTTAGTAATTTTTTATTCTGCCCCAGCTGATGTGTGAGCCAGCATGTCGCGGAGGAAGCAAGCGAAGCCGCAACATTTCCAATCCGACCCCGAAGTGGCCTCGCTCCCCCGGCGAGATGGTGAGTGCTTCGGGCCGCGCCGCGGACCTACACACACACACACACACACACACACACTTACACACACGTACACACCCACCCCCACACACGCACTCCGACTCACGCAACTCGGACCCACGCACACGCCGCCTGGCTCCCGCACCCGGAACCCCCGAGTCCCGGCTCGCCTGGCCACGCCGGGAGTTTGTCTCCTTCTCTCGCATTTTCAGTGTGCTGTGCCTGGCTTCCCCCCTGCTCCGGGTACAGCACACACTTTTCCTGGCAGGACCTTTCCGGAGTTGTTGGGTGCTCCTGTGGGGCGGAGGGCAAGCCGGTCTGCTTTTATCCCCCGGGCCAGTTTTTCCGGGGTGCGGAGCCTGGGAGGCGCCCCAGCCGCCTCCGGGTCCCTGGCGGGGCTCGGGCGTGGACTGAGGGCTAGGCGCGCCGGCCACCGGGCTCCCGTTCTCCCGGCGCCGCTCTCGGGGCCCCGGCTGTCCCGGGCCCTCCCGCAAGCGGGACGGAAGTTTACTTGGTGCTCGGGGCTGAACTCCGATCGCGAAGGGAGTTCGGCCTCCCACTGCAGCCCACGCCCGCGCACACGCTACTTCGGCCTGCGCGGCGCAATGGAGGGACTTCGGGGGGCACAGCTGGGAGAAGGTCGGGACCCGAAGCGAGGCGCGCAGAGCCTGACGCTGTGGTCGCGGCGGGGGCGAAGAGTGCTTTTCGCTGTCGGTTACTCCCCGAACCGAGTGCGAACAGAAGGGAAGGTGTCCTTAGGGCTACCCAAGTTGCTCTCCCTTGCATCTTTTCCCCCAACACGTGCACTCAGTGACCTCTAGGATCTAGAGACTGCGCCCGCTGGGGTTCGTGGGACCCTACACTTCCAGATGAGTCGGGGAAGGGAGTTGGGAGGGCTATTTGTCAGGGTTGGGCTATCCAGCCCAAAGGAGAACCTCTCCCTGATGCCGGGCGTTTGCGTTCTCTGGTGGAGGTGACCACTGCGAGAGGCCCCCAAAGTGCAGAACAAAGTTTGTGTTCAGGACCTATGGCCCAGAGTGAGAGAGGTGGGGGCGGTGTTTGGAGAGGAGGACACCTTGGATTGCGCCTTGTCCCTTGAATGTTCTGTGTAGGAGCCTCCAGGCTCCTAGCTAGGCCCAGCGCACTGGGCAATGGAATGGCGCTCGGCTCGGCTCCCCGTGCAACCCCAGCTGGGACTCTACCCTACCCCGCAGGATAATTCCTGGGATTCTCATGTTTACTTTGGGAGCATATAGGAGGGAGCCGGACCCCGACCAGGTTCAGAAGAACACTCTGAGATCCCCATCTGTGTCCACCAAACACAAGCCGGCCCCACTGTCCTCAGGATCCTTCCCCAGAGGCCTGCTCCTTACAGTGGACCTCGGATGCAAAGCCCTGGCTGCGAAGGAAAGGGATCCCTCCCCTCCCAGTACACACACTTCCCTTTACCCAGCTGCTGGGAAGGGGATGCTTGGCTTAGGGAAACTGATTCAGAACATTGCTTACAACACGTGCCTCCAAAGTTCTTCCTTAAAGCATTTGTAGCCTCACCGAGAGCCTCTGGGATTTCTCAGTCCACTAAGAGCCCCTAAGAGTTTTCAGCTTTCCACTCCTGGCAAAGCCAGGGGAGAACGGAACAGAGGCCTGAGCAACTTCTCCGATGTTTTTCTCCGGCTGCCTCAACTGGTTTCTTCTTCTCTTGCCCACACTCATCTTTCTTAAAGTTTTTGGTCAGAACTTCCACCGCTGAATACTGTCAGAGCTCACAACTTGTCATTGTAAAACCCAAAAAGAAGAAAAGAGAAAGATTGGTTGTTCTTTTTGGGGGGTGAGGTGGTGGTGGTGGTGTAAATTTGAAATAATTTCATCCACTTTCAAAAAAAAAATCCTGTGTTGCATGGAAAAATAAAGCCTGCTAGGTTTTTCCTTTCTCTTCTTGCCTTGCAAATCAAGAATTTTTAATAGGTAAGTCTGCTCATAAAGCAACAGCATAAAAAAGAGTTCACTGCTTCTTACCATGATTATTATTAGTACTGTTATTTTTACATTGATTTGAGCTTGAAGGGCGTTAGTTAAGTATCTGGAATGAAGTTTCTTTCCTATCTTTTTCTTCTAATTCCTTTTTCTTTTTTCACCCCCAAAGCTAGTTCATTGTCCTAAGAAGCAGTAAACTGTAAGGGGCACTTACTTCCCTTCCAACCCCCTTCCCTGTCCTCTCCCCACTCCCTCCTCTTTTTCTTCCGTGGGATTGGATTTAGGCTCTCACTATTTTTACGTGGCTGAACAATAAGTTTGGAAGAAATTGCCTGGAGGGTAGGTTTTGTAATAAGACTTAAGGATTTAGTGTGGTTTGGTAATGTTGTTGTTAGGGTGCTGTCCGAATGTATTTTCAACTCACAGTGACCCCATGTGACAAAGTAAACCTGCCCCGAAGGCTTTTTTCAGGAAAATCACCAGATCTTTCCATTTAGAGCTGCTGGGTGGGTTTGAACAGCCAATCTTTCTCTAAGCAGCCACAGTATGCTTATGCAGTGTGCCACTAGGCTTCCTTTTGTTGCGGTAATACTCTACACAACTAATCCTTTCCAATGCCTAACTTATAGGAAGACCAAGGGAATTCCAGTGCTTTTTATTTGGGGATATTTGTCGGATCAATGGAATTGAGGTTTCATAATATAAATCAGTTGCCATTAAAAGTCACCTTTTCTGCAGTTAGCCCAGCAATCTATTCCTCTTCGCGTGCACTTATCCATTGTCAGGACGTATTTTGCTTTTATTTTTGTAACATAAAGTTAGTACATTTTAGAAGACAAATAGCTTGTCTAACAATTTGGCAGGTTTGTCTGTTTGTCTGTTTTTCTCTTGTATCTTGAGATGGCCTTAAAAGATGCCCAATTAATTGTTGGACATTGTGAATTGAAGTTATTTTTTTTTTTGCTCTATTCCTTTGCTAGTGTCTCAAATTTGAAGGTTTTTAACCTAGGAGGGCCCTAGAAACGTTTGTAGACCTCAGTGGCAGTAGCCCAGAATGAACTAATGTGCTGCGGGTATCATGGACAAGGGGGCTTCAAAAAGTTCATGGAAAAGAGTTAAAAGGTCATGGAAGTTTCCCACGAAAATTTTGAAGTCCCCTTGCATGTAAATATGTATGCTTACAAAACCAAAAAAGCAAGCCCTGATGCACAGCAATACCAATAGAACTTAATTGGAATAAATTCAAGAAAACAAGATTGTTTAGTCCGTGTTAAGATGTTGCTACCCTAGTGCAGCTGAAATGCCAGACTACTCTAAAAGAAACTAGAGGATTTTTCTGTTTCTTAGAAACCAAAATTATGGCAAATCGTCAAGTGATATCAACAAGTTTCAAATCACTCATAGGAAAATAACTGCAATTGGAAATCCTACATACCCAGTTAAGTCACTCGGAGGAGAAGGGGCATTGGAGAACTATAATAGTTTCATAGGTGTATTCTTTACTAAAGATCTTAAATTGGCTACTTGGTGTGCGTTCTTTTGGTGGTGTTTTGAGGATTCCTGTAACACTATGGATGGCCTATTCAGACACCTTAATTTATTTTTAAAGTATTCAGTGCTTAGCTTTTTCAAGGAAAATGTAATATTGGAAGGAAAATTTTAAATGAATTACAGAGAAAACAGTGACTTTGTCATATAAAGAATCTTTAAAAAAATCCCCCTTATATATATTAATAGTGAAATTCTATTATTTATCAAAATAATTTATTCATTCTGAGCAGTTTAATGGCAATGCATTGATTTCTGGGCCCAAAAGGTTAGAAAGAACTATAATTAATTGCTTATTTTGAAAAACCGACACCTGCATGATAAGGCTGTTGGAAAGAATTTATGCTTAAGAGGCCTATTTTGAGTTGAAGTTTGTAGTGTAATGGAAGATTCTGGATGAGAAATGCGGTGGGGGTGGGGGGTGGCTGCTCATACATCCTCAAATGTTAAAAAACAAACAAACAAATCAGCAAAGTCTTAAATGAAGTGTGAGACAGTGAATGTAAGAATGAATTTAGGATCTTGAATGTTTTCTAGCTTATTTTGCATCAAGTTCTCCTATGGTTTATGAACACAAGTGTCAATTTATAAGTTATTCTTTGAGGACTTTATTTTATTTCTTTTGACTTTACCAACAAAAGCCCTTTTGGAAAGCAGAAACCCACATTTTAACCTGGCACTCTTACTAGGTATGGGGGGATAGGGAACTAGTAGCTAAGTTGTTTTGAGATTGTTAATAGCCAATCTCTGTAACAAACAGCAAATTCCTTTTTACAATCTTAACTGTGTTTTTCTAAGACATACTGGTACAGCTAGCCACCTCTTCCAAAATATGGAACAGTTAAACTGAGGAGATAGTTCGTTAACCTCAGAACCAACCCCCTCCCCTGCAAAAGAAAGAAAGTTTGTGTCAGGCTTTAAAAAACCTAGATGTGTTGAGCTGTTTTAACCTTTGCTAGCCTCCTTCCATGCAAAGGTGACAAGGTCCAGATCATAATATGTCCTTCAGTATCTTCCCAGTGACCCCCAAATTGAGTCTTGCTAGTCACTTAGCAGGAAGTTAGTAGTTTATTTTAGTTTCACCTTATCAGCTTGGCTTCTTTTCCTAACCTTATTCCCCTGTCACCCTCAGATGCCAGACCCCCAAAGGGGAAGATTGACAGGTAGTTCCCATAGCTCAGCTTTACCCTCAAACAACAGGGATTTAGTTTCTTGTGCCTTTGCCAATGTTTATGTAGTCAAAGTTTAGATCTTGCCTTAAGGAGTCTCTCTTTTACGCGTCACTGGAATAGGAAAGCCACAAAGAAGTTTTTGAACGAACCCTTGCAACTGGAACCCCATCTAGTGTTCAGTTTGATTCATCTATGTGGACGACATTTCCCCTTTCATTTCTTGTGTACATTTAAGCGAGCTTGGGTTGAGAATTTAAAAGCAAAGCCTTGTCTGGGTGGTTAGTTTTGCAGAAATCTCACTTGGAGTCTTATGCTATTCTTGGTTAGAACACTGAGAGAACTTGAAGGTGCCAATAAATTTGGGAATTACATATCAGATAGAAGAAACTTTAGACTTAACAGGAAATATGCACAGCATGCCCTGCAATATTTAAAATGTCTTTGCAATCTTAGATTGGACATCCACATTCAGATTCAGGCTTTTACCAGATCTATGCAAAAAGAAGAAGAAGAACAAGAACAAGATAATGATTAGTCAATCGAAAAAGATTGTGATAACCTTTCCAAACAGATCTACAGACAGGAATAGCCTATGAAAATTATGAGCTCCAAACTCACAATTGGGAAAGATTCTGTTGTAAAATGTGAGGGCGAGCTTCAGAGAATGTGAGGTACAACGGAATATTTTTTGAGGAGCTTCAAAAAAGAAAACTAAATGCAGTAGGGTAGGTTTGGTTTTGTTTTGCATCCTTTTCCTACCTAGCTAAACATTTCTGTGTGGGGCATAGTTTTATTTCTATTTTCTCAGTAGACAAATGTGCCAGAATACTTCAGTTTTCTGCCTCCTATTCTGCAGTGTTCGGCTCAGATGATGAAAACCCAACAAATTTGATGTAGGCATCAAGCACCCAAATAAAATAAAAACATCTGGAATTTGAGAATAAACTTGGTGGAGCAATAAGATCACCCCTTTAAAAAAAAATGCCTTAAAATATTTAAACTATCACGTGTGTGTTTAGAAACTACTTAAAAATTTTCCCTATCTGACCATGATTACAAAATTACTTTAATTTGCATGCAAACTGCATTGAAAATGACCTGATTGTTATTTTCAACATCATGCAAGGGAGCAAAGCAACTGTATTTATTATAAGGGGTCACCAGTTATAATCCTTTTTAACAGATTATTGAGCTAGGTACAAAATAGCAGACATGTTAAGTTTTTGCTTTCTGGTGGGTTTTTTTTGGTGGGGGGCGGTCTGCGTCTTACTACAACTCTACAATTTATAATAGTCTCTATGGTAATTAAAGCTTTCAGACTAGACCTCATGTTTTGCCACCCCCCCACATGCACACAGAGCAAATAAGCTTTTTCATTGGAATTCTTTTCAGAATGCAGATAAATTTAAAGTTAAGAACTGTGACAGTCAATTATATTGTAGTGACACCTGCTTTTGAAATAAACCAAACAAAATAGATATCAGAATTTTTTTTTTTGGTGTTCATAAACATCAGGAAATTAAATTAATTGACTCTACAGTGAGATCAAATAGCCACTTCTTAAAATGTCTAATGTTTTGAAAAAGCTTAGCTAAAATATGGACAACTTTTAAAACAGTCTTTTTCTTAGAAGCAAACAGGCTTGTTAGGCACCCAAATGCAGAATGTTCGCATAGGAAAGTCAGAATCAGCTAAATCCTATGAAGTTACCTACCTTTCATTTTCTTCCATTTTATGAGACTATCAGATATTTGAAAGCTATAAAGAATTAAAATGCCCTTTAATCGTGAGCACAGATGTGCTAAATATTTAAAGCAACTATATTGTAATGTGTACAATTGATAGAGTCAGTTTTCTGATTTCCCTGGCTGGTTATTTAGTTCTGAATCTGTCATTATTTGTCTAAGCCCAGCTGACCAAGCAAAACTGTGTTTTAAAGTGGCTTTATGTTTTGATAAATGTGAGCTGGTTGAAAAGTATTTTCCACTGAATGCAGAGCTTAATAGAACATGCTGACATAATAGTTTTAATGCATTTTGTTGAAAATGTGTGAACAAACAGAATAGCTTTTGTTCCTTCATAATTGGCTGTAAAAGTAGATGGAAACATAACCATTACATATGGAAATGTGCAAAGAGAAAGAAATAACATTTCTGTTGAATATATTAGGAATTGCATTTCCTAGTTTAAAATAAGCATCTGAAATGGATGCATCATTTAAAATTGGCTGTCAAAATAAGAAGCTTTAAACAGAATTTTTGTCACATTATTTTTGTCCCAAGTTAAGCAACATAACTTTAGTGAATTTTGTTTAATATTTTGTTTGTGCGATTTTAAGGTTGAAAGGGAGACAGAAAGTACTTGAAATAGCACCTTGGATGTGCATAGGAATCCAGCGCCAATTTAGATGATGAAACATTAAATTAAAACTGAATCATTCATTATTGGTATTTTCGGCTGAAACAAAGATTTGTTTGTTACTGTCAATTTATTGTGCACGATACCTGCTTGGAGATTTAAAAAGCAATATTAGGAAAGCTGTTAAGATTAACTTAACTGCTCAAGCAACACACCCAGTGAATAAAGGTATGTCTGCTGTTTGTTCAGGGTCCTGATCAACTTTGTCATCACTCAGGGCCAACAGATTTGAGGCATTTTCAGAAGTTCGTATTTAGGTATTAATGACTGTTTTCTAGAATGCAAAATCCCTTAGGCAGTTTTGATGTTTGCTACAAAAAGGCAAATGGATAATAGATCTTTTGACTTGACTCTAAATTTCCCCCCAAAAGCAGCATTTTGATTGTGCATTTCATTCATATCTGCAATTACTTTCTTTTTCTCTGCAAGTTTTCTGAGAGATTCAATTTGGAAGTCATGGAAACTACCTATTCTCTGATTCAGTACTGGAGGGGAAAAAAAAGGCATGCAGGGAGGTAATCCTTGAATTAAACAGTTTTTTTTTTCCACAGCCTTCCAAGATGACCACACACCATTTGTACGACAGGAGCTGGTGTTCCCCATGCTGGGCAAACAATGGGACGCCATCCTGTCTTTGAATAGGATGTTAGCCTGGAGTTGGAGATTTTTATGTTTAATTTACAAATGGATCTTAGTGAGAAGAAATCTGAGCAACCAGTGGAAACAAACACGGAATAAAGGGAGTTTTATAATGAAAGGTTTAGGACAATCTGTTAAACAATTGATAACAGTTAAAAGCAAACTGTTTTTAAAGGCATTCCGATAAGGAGAATTGCAGAGCATTTCCAAACTCTAAACCAAGAATAATGTCTTATGGAATGGGAGCACTTCCTCGTAAACTGCACATCTCTTTTTGAGTTGATGTTTAATCAGAAATGTAAATCTTAGGCCTATTTTTATAGATCTACAGAACACTTTTGATGAAATATTTAGAGTGGTAATGTTGCTATTTGGAGCATACTGGCATATATTCCTTGGTTAGTCTGGGTTGCATTCTTTAATTTTAAAAATAAACATGCCAGGGGGTGATATATCAGTCCCAGGCAGGCCTGGTAAGGGGTTCGCATTGCAGTGCTTCTTGCCATTGTGGATGTGTTGTTTTCCCTTGGGTATTCAGCTGGGTCCCAGAAGGGCCCTGGAGGATTTGCTACGGATGTGGCCTAAGTGTGTTCTTCTTGGCTCAGCCTCCATTCAGGTTCTAGGTGGGGGGGTTGAAGGTGATTTCCAAATGGTCAGCCTACAGTTTGGTGATATGCACTCCCCCAGCCCCCACCCCTGTCAACAACTGATTGGGACTTGAATGACTACAAATTAGTTTAGTGACAGAACAAACTGTCACCGATATCTTTGAATCAGTTGAAAATGAATAAGGTTGACAGAAACCTAAGAGCCTAATGAGTCCTCAGAATGGTTGCCGGACACTCTTTGGACAAGTCGACAAGAAGGTGTATAAAATATTGGAAATCAATATTTTGCTATGGAATTTCATTATGCACCAATGTCTGGGGTTCATAGTATTTTATATTTTGATGGATTATCTGACGACCATGACTCTTGAAGACAGCAGATTGCTAGGCATTCCTCCGCTCTTTGGAAATGAATTATGAATGTCTTGGGCAATATTGATTGTTTTTCTGGGGCTAAAGTTTTGAACTTCTTGAGTAGAAAACAATTAATGAACTTTGTTTTCTAAGTCATAGACGACTCCGTGCGGTCTCCCTCTCTAATTCTGTGCCTTTTGCTGTTTGTAGGAGACACAGAGAAGGGTCAACCAAATCGAACCACTAAGAACAAGGATGCCCACGTCTGTGGCAGGTGCTGTGCTGAGTTCTTTGAATTATCAGATCTTCTACTCCACAAGAAGAACTGTACTAAAAAGCAATTAGTTTTAATCATAAATGAAAATCCTCCTTCCCCTCCCGAAACTTTCTCCCCTAGTCCCCCTTCGGATAATCCTGATGAACAAGTGAATGACCCAGTTAACAAAACAGATCAAGTAGACTGCAGCGACCTTTCAGAACACAACGGGCTTGACAGGGAAGAGTCCATGGAGGTGGAAGCCGCAGCTGCTAACAAAAGCGGCAGCAGCGCTCCCAGCGGCAGCAACAGCAGTAGCACCCCAAGCTGCAAGGGTAGCCCCTCCACAGGTACCTCAGCCATCACAACCTCTCTACCTCAACTCGGGGACCTGACAACACTGGGCAATTTCTCCGTGATCAACAGTAACGTCATCATCGAGAACCTCCAGAGCACCAAGGTGGCAGTGGCCCAGTTCTCCCAGGAAGCGAGGTGCAGCGGGGCCTCTGGAGGGAAACCGGCCATCCCGGCTCTCATGGAGCAGCTCCTAGCGCTGCAGCAGCAACAGATCCACCAGCTGCAGCTGATCGAACAGATTCGGCACCAAATACTGCTGTTGGCTTCACAGAATGCAGACTTGCCAACATCATCTAGTCCTTCTCAAGGTACTTTACGAACATCTGCCAACCCCTTGTCCACGCTAAGTTCCCATTTATCTCAGCAGCTGGCGGCAGCAGCTGGATTAGCACAGAGCCTCGCTAGCCAATCTGCCAGTATCAGTGGTGTGAAACAGCTACCCCCAATTCAGCTACCTCAGAGCTCTTCTGGCAACACGATCGGTCCATCCCACAGTGGCTCTTCTCCCAATATCAACGTATTGGCGGCGGCAGTGACCACCCCCTCCTCAGAAAAAGTAGCTTCCAGTGCTGGGCCATCCCACGTCAGCAACCCAGCCGTCTCAGCGTCATCCTCACCAGCTTTTGCAATAAGCAGTTTATTAAGCCCTGCATCGAATCCACTTCTACCTCAGCCAGCCCCTGCTAACTCGGTTTTCCCCAGCCCTTTGCCCAACATTGGAACAACCGTGGAGGACTTAAATGCCTTGTCTGCCTTGGCCCAGCAAAGAAAGAGCAAGCCACCAAATGTCACTGCTTTTGAAGCAAAAAGTACTTCGGATGAGGCGTTCTTCAAACACAAGTGCAGGTTCTGTGCGAAGGTCTTTGGGAGTGACAGTGCCTTGCAGATCCACTTGCGTTCTCATACTGGAGAAAGACCATTCAAATGCAACATCTGTGGGAACAGGTTCTCCACAAAGGGAAACCTGAAAGTTCACTTTCAGCGCCACAAAGAGAAATACCCTCATATCCAGATGAACCCCTACCCTGTGCCTGAGCATTTGGACAATATTCCCACAAGTACCGGGATTCCATATGGCATGTCCATCCCTCCCGAGAAGCCAGTCACCAGCTGGCTAGACACCAAACCAGTGCTGCCCACTCTGACCACTTCTGTTGGCCTACCATTACCCCCGACCCTCCCGAGCCTGACACCATTCATCAAGACAGAGGAGCCAGCCCCCATTCCCATCAGCCATTCTGCTGCCAGCCCACCAGCCTCAGTCAAAAGTGACTCTGGGGTCCCTGAGCTGGCTACAAGAAACCCAGCTGGGCTCCCTGAGGAAGCGGAAGGGTCCAGTTTGCTACCCGCCAGTGGCAAAACTGAGGAAAACAGCGTGGTCCCTGGTTCAATCCTGACAGCAAGCAACAGCTCCCTGAGCTCCCCCGCTGGGGACCCTGGCCCAGGCAATGCCGCCACCTTCACCAACCCGCTGCTGCCACTCATGTCAGAGCAGTTCAAGGCAAAGTTTCCTTTTGGAGGGCTTTTGGACTCGGGCCAGGCCTCAGAAACGTCCAAGCTGCAGCAACTGGTTGAGAACATTGACAAGAAGGCAACTGACCCCAACGAGTGCATCATCTGCCACCGTGTCCTCAGTTGTCAGAGCGCCTTGAAAATGCACTACCGGACGCACACTGGGGAGAGGCCCTTTAAGTGCAAAATCTGTGGCCGGGCTTTCACCACGAAAGGGAATCTGAAGACTCACTATAGTGTCCACCGGGCTATGCCCCCACTCCGAGTCCAGCATTCCTGCCCCATCTGCCAGAAGAAGTTCACCAATGCGGTGGTCCTGCAGCAGCACATCCGAATGCACATGGGAGGCCAGATCCCCAACACGCCCGTCTCTGAGAGCTATCCTGAGTCCATGGAGTCGGATACAGGCTCCTTCGATGAGAAGCATTTTGATGACCTCGACACCTTCTCTGATGAAAACATGGAAGATTGTCCCGAGGGCAGCATCCCCGATACGCCCAAGTCCGCGGATGCATCCCAAGACAGCTTGTCCTCTTCACCTTTACCCCTAGAAATGTCGAGCATCGCTGCTTTGGAAAATCAGATGAAGATGATCAATGCCGGCCTGGCCGAGCAGTTGCAGGCCAGCCTGAAGTCCGTGGAGAATGGGTCCATGGAGGGGGATGTCCTAACCAATGACTCATCGTCAGTAGGTGGTGACGTGGAAAGCCAAAGTGCTGGGAGCCCAGCCATTTCAGAGTCTACCTCTTCCATGCAGGCTCTCTCCCCATCCAACAGCACCCAGGAGTTCCACAAGTCACCCAGCATGGAGGAGAAATCTCAGAGAGCATTACCAAGTGAGTTTGCCAATGGTTTGTCTCCCACTCCAGTGAATGGTGGGGCTTTGGATTTGACTTCCAGTCAGGCAGAGAAAATAATCAAAGAAGATTCTCTGGGAATCCTCTTCCCTTTCAGAGACCGGGGTAAATTTAAAAACACTGCTTGTGACATTTGTGGCAAAACATTTGCCTGTCAGAGTGCCTTGGACATTCACTATAGAAGTCATACCAAAGAGAGACCTTTTATTTGCACAGTTTGCAATCGTGGCTTTTCCACAAAGGGTAATTTGAAGCAGCACATGTTGACACATCAGATGCGAGATCTACCATCACAACTCTTTGAGCCCAGTTCCAACCTTGGCCCCAATCAGAACTCTGCAGTGATTCCCACCAACTCATTGTCATCTCTTATCAAGACAGAAGTCAATGGCTTTGTGCATGTTTCTCCTCAGGACAGTAAGGACACCCCCAGCAGTCACGTCCCTTCCGGGTCTCTGCCATCCTCTGCCACGTCCCCAGTTCTGCTCCCAACTCTGCCCAGGAGAACCCCGAAACAACACTACTGCAACACGTGTGGCAAAACCTTCTCTTCCTCGAGTGCCCTACAGATTCACGAGAGAACTCACACTGGAGAGAAACCCTTTGCTTGCACAATTTGTGGAAGAGCTTTCACGACAAAAGGCAATCTTAAGGTACCTCACTCCATCTGCCCCTCATGCCTCTGTCTCACTACCCCAGATTGGTAATGTATGCTCTGCGTGTCACCACCCCAGATATTCAGGGAGAGATCCTGCAAAGGAGCCTGCCTGGTGGGGCTGATGGTGGAGAGGTGTGGGTACCTCTGGGCTGCAGGATCGTGGCAGGGATGAGCGCAGATTGTGGCTTGGTGAATGTCAGAGGGCATTGAATCATTTGGCATTACAGCAATGTGGCGACAATCTCTGTTGTCTTGCTAAGTGCACCAAATAAATTACTTTACCTACTAAATAAGACAGCCCCGGCGTTGCCATGGGGTATTGATTAAAGACCTCCACGAGGCCTGGGTGTTGCCCATATCACTTAATAATTATAGTGCTCATGGTCATGTGCATCCATTTTTCATAACTCTGCAGCATGGCTTGTTTCTCTAAAAAATAAATAAATAATGTCACTACACAGCTAATGGATATGATGATTAATTGATTATATAACATTTCCTACTGATAGGTGTTGGAAATAAAGCAAATATGCTTAAATTCTAGAGCAACAGTTGAACGCTCTCACTGTGTACATTTTTCTGTTGACAGTGTATTTCTCCAGAGATTGCTGCCAGTAATGCAAGATGAATAATTACTTTCTGGTTTTTCTTGCCATATACGGGTCCTCCAATGGGCAATCGGTGATGGGTACTTTCTTCCCACCTGAAAAGAACATTTATAGGGTAAAGGGTGTCAGATACAATACTTACCATTGCAATGAGAGTGGACATAATAATTCTAACCCTGAAAGGAGCTATCTGCTACTGACTGGCTTGCTTGAGGCCATTATAAGCTAAATACAGGTAATAAAAGCAGAGTAAGCAAGGCATCTTTGCTCAGGAAGAAGAAAGCCGACCCAGGGCTGCAGAGAGCGAGCACGCTATTACTGGTCAACAGGACTGGATGGTTTCTGTTACCTTTTCCACTGTCTGTCACATAATAAGAATAGACATTTAGGCCACTTGCTTTGTTGAGTGTTGAGATATGAGATGAGACGGATTAAACTATTAAGCTTCTCTCCCTCTCCGCTCCCCCCCCCCTCCCCCCTTTCCTTCCTCTCTCCCTGCATCTCAGGTACACATGGGCACTCACATGTGGAATAGCACCCCGGCACGACGTGGTCGGCGACTCTCTGTGGATGGTCCCATGACATTTCTAGGAGGCAATTCGGTCAAGTTCCCAGAAATTTTCCAGAAGGATTTGGCAGCAAGGTCAGGAAGTGGGGATCCTTCCAGTTTTTGGAATCAATATGCAGCAGCGCTGTCCAATGGGCTCGCGATGAAGGCCAACGAGATCTCCGTCATTCAGAATGGTGGCATCCCTCCAATTCCTGGAAGCCTTGGCAGTGGTAGCAGCTCACCTATTAGTGGGCTGACAGGAAATCTGGAGAAGCTCCAGAACTCAGAGCCGAATGCTCCACTGGCCGGCCTGGAAAAAATGGCCAGCAGTGAGAATAGAACCAACTTCCACTTCACCCGCTTCGTGGAGGAAAACAAAGAGATCGTTACGAGTTAAACTGACTGGGGCTTGAGAACGAACATTCCTGTTCAGAGTGTGACCTCCATTGGCCGCCGCCACCTCCTTCCTTGTCCCACCCCTTGCCCTCTAGTCCCCTAGATTTATGAACTACAACATTATGAAGACACTCTTTTGTACCTTGTTCAACTTCTAGAGTTCTAAGAAAGCTATTTATTAGTGATAATAACCTTGCTTTGCAAAGAGAATGCAAGAGTTAACTTTGGTCTTCTGTATTTGGAACTAAATACTAATTGACTAGAGTGTTGTAAACTTGCTGTAACATTTATGGCAATTGCAAGTTGCCCTGCTAGGCGGTCTTAATCTGGCATTAACTTATTTTCTATATCCAGTTTAATATGAATCTGGTGTTGATGCAATGCCTCCGTGATGCATTAGATCTCTAATAAAGACTGTATATAAATGTATACTCTAATCCTGCTGGAAAATTTTATCAGCAAACACATTGTCTAATCTCACAAAGCAAATTCAAAGGACTAAAAGTACAGACTGAACAGAGTGGTTCTCTGAAAGGTTCAAGTTTTGTTTTTGTTTTTGTTTTTTCATTTTAATTCTAAATTCAACTTTTGGGGGGGGGTAGATTTAACCATTTCCGTTTTGAACTGCTATTTGTATTGTGCATTTTACTTGAGTCGTCTTTAATGTTAATAAGTTTCTGTACAGTAATAAGCACGCAGAGATCTTTAGAGAAATTTACAAGTGTTGTTTTGGTAGTTGAAACTGAGACGTAACATTTTGCCTTGTAGGTATATTCACCATAGAAACTGTGTGCTGGAATTTCACACTGCTGCTAAGTATAGCATCTTGAACAACCTTCAGTGGCGAAAACGGAGATGCTCTTGTACATACATACAATGAGAAATATCACTTTCATTAAAATGTACATATGTTCCTTACAAGAGCGAAAGCTTCTTCCTGATCAAGAAAGCAGATAGAATGTTGGTTTATTTTGTATTAGGTATGGAGGAAAAAAATTGGACTGTTACATGCACTTTCTTAGAAAGTTGAAAATAAAGGGGGGAAGATCCCATTTCTTTAACATTTAATACTAACAACAGAGGTACTGTAATTTTACTTAAGTAATCAAATACATTTTTTTGGCAACAGATAAAACAAAGCACTGTGTCTGTGATTTCAGAGTGCATTTCTTTTTAGCCATGTCCTTAAATATATTTTTAACATTTCCGTAGGTACCAGGAAATTGTCTTGTAAGACGATTTTGACATCAGCCTATATATGATACCATCTCTATTTGTCTATCAATAGGAAGCTGGAAAAGGTTTAATGGGAACAAAATTGTACAGGTATGGTGTGGGTGGCCTGCTAACTGAAATGTCAGTTCAAAACTACCAACCGCTCTGCAGGGAAAAAAAAGAAGAAGAGGTTTTCTAATCTGTCTTATAGGATCATTGTGTGTCACCATTTTAAAAAAAAGTCCCAATATCCATTCCTTGGGGAAATATATTTTATAGAACCTCCATTTTCAGTTTCCTTTCTACCAAGAAAAATAAAAGGTGGTGGTTGACCAGGTTAGTTTTCCTAGGCCAGACATTTGCACCTCTTCAGACTTTAAGTTCATCCCAGCTGCACCGCTTTCCTTCTCAGGATTTAGTCGCATTTGTGTTAGGTCCTTGCTAGGGACTAGGCTACAAAATCACCCATGGAGCGGGGTGTGCGGGGTGGGGGCTCATATAACCTGACACAAATGGGACCTCAACCCAGAGAGGACAGCATATTCTTTAATTAAGCTTCTAGGCTTTTCGATGCTTATACATATTTGGAAGAAATACTCAACCATATTTAGAGGCAACTGAAAGATTTCATCAAAATTCAGCCAAATTCTCCCTTTTGTTCTTGCAGGATTTGTATTTCTCCTGAGCACTATTTTGGGGCAAGCAGACAGTTGTAAGTTGTGCCTAGAGAGGTCGGTCGAAGCCTTTTTTTTTTAAAATCAGAGAGGTTTTCCAAGTAAGGATGGAGTGTCCTCTGCTTTGCAGGATTCCTTTCCAGAGGGCCTCTGGGGATGGGCAAGTGTCTTTAAACCTCCAAGCCTGCCTTAGGCCAGGCCAGGAGGTGCAGGACCCAGGGGGCAGGCGGTGCAGCCCCCCCGCACTGCTGAGGCGAGGGAGGTGCCCCCTATATCAGAAAAGGGTCGAGGGTGGGGATTGTGCAGCGTCACCGACCGCTGAGGGTGAGAGCTGGCTTTTCTCAGTTCACTTCGTCCCAGGGAAGACCCCTTTTCTCCAGGGCTGAGTAGAGGGGGGAGCCGGAAGGCAGGCTCGACTCCGGGCAGATGCTTCTGTTCTGTGCCTACCAAACGGGGACCTTCCCCTCGCCGGCGCGGTGAGGAGAGGCGCTCCCTTGTGTTGCGGAGTTTGGGGTCCTGGTACTTTGGGTAGTATGCCCAGTCCCTTGGGACGGGGTCTGGGGGCACCTTGCGGGGGTGGCTTTAGGCTGCCGGTAACTGGCAGCCCGGCTTCCAGCGAGTCCCCAGCCCGCACTCCAGCCCCAGCGCTTCGCGGTCCCTCGCCCGAGGGGCCCAGTGGATTCCGGGGATGGACAGCACCCCCGCAGCGGGGCCCTCCACGCACGAGCCGAGCCCTGGGTGCCCAGCGATCCCGCCCGTCCCACCCCAGGGAGGCCTGAGCTGCGCGGGGAGCGTCCGGGACTCCCTCTGGCCCCGCGGGTGCGGGAGTCACAGCGTCGTCGGCATCGCTGGCGGGCGGGCGGGCGGGGCCCCGGGGCAGCTTTGCCACCACCGCCCCCCGCCTGCCTGCTCTTCTGCGCGTTTTTGGAAAGTGAGTTCAGGGCAACCGAAGTAGCTTTTCGTTTAGAACGAACTCCTGGACCACCGAAGGTCTTAGGAAAAGGTGGGCGGCTCCTCGGAGCCTGGCTAGGTCTGCGATCCCTCTGCCTTCGCCTCCCCCCTGCCCTTTTGTTCTCGCCTATCCATCTATTGATCGGCCCTCTTTCTCATCGATTGATCTTTACCTGCCCATTCCTCTTCCCATCCATTTCCGAAACAAGAAGGCGCCCTGAGCTCCGCGTCCCCCCGCTGCTGTGGGACAACCAACTTAGCCTTCGGTTCAGCCGGCTGATGGACATTTATAAAGCAGTCTTTATTTCAAAGCTGAGGCGGTGGGCGCGCCCCACCTTGCACCGGCCCCCACCACACCTCACTTATTTGCCATTGCTTTCAGCTTCGGGAACTTGAGGGCCTTCGCAGTCCTTTAGGAACCACGGTGCACCTAATGTATGGGATGGTGATGCCAGATTAAAAAAAAATTAGCCAAAAAGAATGATTTGGGTGACATTTCCCTATTTACTTTTTAAAAAGGTACATTGTTTAACCAAAGAGGGAGAGAGAAATACAACCAATCGGGTAAAGACCTTTGTGGACAGCCCTCAAAATTAAATCGTAATAACTTGTTTTCCCGTTTGGGAGTGACTAGACTTTTAAAAATGTCTTTCCTTTCCGTCTCGCTGTGTGGTTGTCATTCACTCGTTCTCTTACGTCTCCTGTGTCTTTCCTCTACTTTCCTTTATGCGCATGCTTTTCCCCACCACCGCTCTCTCTGAAAAATATACTGAGAAAGGCTGTTTGGCGTCTGAAGGGAGCTAGGAGGAAAACAGGGGGAGGGGGAAGAGGGCAGACCAATCAATTAGGAGACATCTAACGCTAAATCTGGCCTTCGGTTTTCAAATCTTTATCCTCAGTGGCCAGATTTATTCAAATGACTTTTTTCAGGGTGTGGGTGGTGAGGGAGATCAATTTTTTAAAAAATTTGGGTAAAACGTTCAAATAGCAAATCCTAAATGATTTGCAGTTCAGCTAAATTTCTAGCAGCAAATTATTTGCGTATTGTTTTGGGCGTATTGTGAATGTCAAGAATGAGAGAACTTAAAAGAAGAAAGTATTGCTCTCACTCTGTTAAAACTTAGCAGTCCCGTTAGAAAAATAAAGCCCAGGAGTCTTTAATAGGGGTTGCATTCTATAACCCCCCCTCCCCAGATGAAACATGTCAGAGGGGGTAACAAAGTGGGAAAAAATGTAAAGTGAATTTCAAAGGACTCCACAAGCAAAGTGCAATCTGAGATTCACAGAGAGTGGATAAGGCAGGAATTAGGTCATCTCGTCCAGACCCCAGGAAATATGTTTAGATCAAAGCCTGCTCCGTTAGAATAAACAAAACAGGACCATTGGGGCCTACCAATATTTTCAACTCTGCAAAGGACTGCTAATCTAACCAGCCCTAGCTGATGAAAGGGGGCAAAAAATGACAACTGTAAAAATGACTAATAAAAATAAGGATGTCCTCTCGACTATAATGGCAAGATAAAGAGTTAGATGTGAGCTAAACAGTAACAAGATCCAGGCCCAGATCAACACAAACGTCCTGGAATTGCAGCACTAAGTAAATTCTCTAAATCCCAGCCCATTGTTCTCTTCTTGCATGCCCTGCTCCCCAAAGATAGTGAATGCTAGATGATTTATATATTTTTAAATGGTTAAAATTTAACTTTGGTCAAAGACCATTACATTAGGAAGACTTTGGGGTGAACTTTTTTGTGAATTCCTCAAGCGCTTTTATCTTCCCTCTAGCCCCATAGCCACTAACCCCGAGAAGTTGTTGGGCTAGCAATTCCCCACCCCACCCCCACCCCCAACAGTCCCGCCCCCTGTCCTGTATTGTTGTGGTGCTTCTCTTTAAATCCCATCTCTTAGTTGGGTCTCTTTTTCCATTGTAACCACAGATTGACAGGGACTGGGAGCTTGTATCATCTAAGCCGGTGGTGGGGGCACACGACTTAGCAGCCGTGGATATTTTAGCAGCTCAGCCTAAGTACTGTGTAGGGCTTTCTTTGACCACAGACCTGATGGCTTCACACCCACTGCCAGGAAATAGTCAATAGACAGAAACCTGGAGAAAAGGAGCAGGGAATCCCAGAGAAGGAAAATTCACCCAGGCGAAAGCCAGGGTTGTAGTCCCTTGCTGAGCCCCGTTTCCTCCCGACTACGGAAACACATGATTTGGCTCTTCTTATGTTTCCATGTCCTTCAGAGCTCAGGTTTAACAAAGACACATGCAACGTGTGTCTGCTGGGCTCCAGCCTCACTCAAGCCAGGGACCGGCCTTTAGAAACACCATCAGGAACAGGCATCTTCTGTGTGGGGCTTTTGACTGCTTACCTCACAGAGGACAGTTCCCGGGTCAGCCTTTTACGTACCTTCTGTGGAGGGCTTTGAAGACCACCGATGCTGGGTTAGGGCCCATACATTGATTCTGCCTGTTTGGTGCAGGACAGGACTCAATCAGCCTCCCCGGCACAGTAGAATCCTGCCATGCTTTGATCTTTTGCAACTACGGTGAGGATGTAGAGAGACCAGGGATCTCCTCATCTTATCATTACAGCCACATTTAGTGCGGGGCAGAGATAAAACAAACACAAACCCACTGCCATTGTGCCAATTTTGACTTAACGGGATCCCCTAGGAGAAAGTGGAGCTGTCCTGGTGGTTTCGAAGGCTATAAATGTATGAGAGCAGAAAGCTGAAAGCCTCTTCTTTTCCCTGAGGGATGGCTGTTGGGTTCAAACTTCTGACCTTGTGGTTAGCAGCGTGATGCTTAGCCCACTATGCCACCAGGGCTCCTGAGACACAGAGCAGCCACCAGCAAGTGTGGGTGCAAAAGTCAGTCGAAAAGTATTTCTACTAGGATTCCAGTTCATACATACCTGGTTTATTCTAAGCACCACATCTTTAAACATCTATCTACAACCAGTAGTGGACTATAAACATGCTCTCTCAGTGATATGCTTGCCTTAGTTGCCATCAGGTATCCTGAAAGAATACTTTTTGTGCTATGGGGGAAAATTCTTTTAACACACTCAAGTGGACATCTTCCCAAATCATGGAAGCAAAGCACTGGAACAGGTTTATAGGCATGCTGCCTCACATCAAGAAACCGCATTGACATTGATCAAGTGTTTATGAAAGTCTGGGAAGACCTCAAAGATGAGCAAGGTAGTGAAGCTTTATTTTGAAGGTAGTGAAGGTAGTGACTATTATTTTGAATTTCTAGGGGGTAATCTTTATAGATTTTCTCAAATGATACAGGATGACTATGGAGC